TTCGAGTATTGTTAATAAATTCTGACTTCCAGAGTATTCCCGACGCGGTTATCTGGAATGAAAGTAGGTCACAATAATGTATTTCCTCATTTCTGGGGGTATTCAATTCAGCATTTATGGCTTCTTTCTTCCACTCCACTCCTCTCAAATCCTCTTCTTCTCCCATCATCACTTCCCCTCCTAAGCCCGTAAGCGGGTCCGAGAAACTGGAGCTGTGATGTGATGTTCGAGTGCTGCTGCAGAACCGCCTCTCGTTCACTCGCGTGCTGCTGCAGTTGACATTTAGCGGCCTGAGTTAGCAAATTCGCGGTTCGGTAGACCTGTGCCTACTCAGCGATGGCGAACCTCCATAGAGACGTCCGCGCTATTGAGAAAGAGAAGCAAGGAACCTCAAACGCGCCTTCGAACCGCGCCTTAAAGCAGCAGCTATCCTTGTTAGTAGCTTTCGAGTCCATGTTAAAGCAGCAGCTAACCTCGCTTGCTACCGAGACAGCGGCAGTCGCGGCCCACGTGGGGAAGGCGACGCGTTCCGTTGTAAGAACCCGCGAGTTGAGACGAGGTGCGGAAACGTGACGTGTCAGGATTCGCTGTAAGAGTACCTTTATTGTTGGGAGTGATTCAGAAACTCATAGGTGTGAGGAGTCCCACGCCTTTTATTGCAAGAATCCGCGATTTTAGGCGCCTCAGCACAGCTCTGGAAGGAGTGATTCAGAATCTATGAAACGTCATAATTGTGTGTCCATTGTCCAATCTGGATAAGGACTTGTCCCCTTTGTTATCACTCACTGACTCACTGCTCTGTGACTGCTATTGCGTTCCCTGTGACCGCACTGACTTGCCTTGCCTTTCCCTGTGCTGCGTTGACTGCCGTTGACTGGCGTTGACTGGCGATGATCAGCAACTGGACGAGGCATGCAAGGCCATGGAGAGCCGGAGGAACCTGATGGCAGCCACTGAGGAGGTACGCTGGGAAGGAGAGGCGACTCGCAGGACTGGATTTGCTTTTGGAATCATATCGTGGAATGCTGCCGTTGCTGTAGCTGGTCTTCTGGCATAATTCTCACATAACTTGGAATTTATTCGGGGCTTGATTTCCCTTGTTCTCCCCCCTTCATGACCCTTCCTTTGCTTCCTCTCCTCCTCCTCGTCTCTGCAGTCCATTCAGAAGATGCCAGCTGTCCTCAGCTCATTGGAGGCTTATCTGGACGAATCCATTGCATGGTGCGTGCGGGAGAGGCGAGGGTGGGAGGTGGTGGGGTTGGTTGTGTGAGCCTAGGATGGAGGGATGAAAAAAATGGGGGGAAGGGGGAAAGGAGACGGAAGGAGAGATATAGAAACGGGGGGGGAATTAAGTAGGAGAGAAGAAGATACCACTGGTTTCAGGAAGGCATAAGCAGGAAAAGGCTGAAGGGGTTGGAAGGGGGAAGAATGGGTGGGGGTGGGGGTGGGGGGGAGGGCGAGGACGAGCAGAGAGGTGGGCCTTGCTGGGGTATGTTCGGAGGGGGGAGGAGTTTCATGCTGAGATTTCCGTATTGTTTGTTTTCCATTCCTATGAAAATCTCTGTAACTGCATTTCTTCAGGTGTCTTGTCAACGACCCTCAATCCCTTTGTTTCTCACCTTGTTTCGTTTTCCAACCCTCTTGCATGCGCTCGACCAGGCCATGCACTCAACCATGCCACCATGCCATTCCAATATCCATCCAACAAACTATCCACTGAACCATGTCATCCACTCCAAGCCATGTCACAACTTAATCTTCATGTCTATCCAAACATTTGTTTAACCCATGTCTTCAACCTTACCCTGCCTACTCTACCCACGTTTTCACCATGCTTCTCCAGTGCATCGGACCTGCTGCATGTGGCCCCGTTCCCGTTGCAACCGCCACCTCAACCATCCCATGTGTCGCATGTGTCCCACACACCTCAACCATCTCAACCTCCGGAGCAATCTCAACCGTCCCACGCATCTCAACCATCAGATATGCCCCTTGATTATAAAAACCCAGCAAGATCCCAATCTCATCACACCCAGCCAATCCAAGTGCTGCAATCCCCACAGTTTCGTCATGCTTCATCGCACCAACCGCAGCAATGGCAGCATGCAGGACAAGGAAATCAATTGTCGGAAGCGTTTCTAAACCAATCGCATCAGTCACACCACCCGCAACAATACAAGTAGTTGCTGCCTTGTGTATCCACCTGCTTCAACACGCCTCTTCACTTGCTGTTTTGTTTCCATTTCCGTGTACAGTGAATAATATGCATGTAACTGTGTTTTTCCATCATTAGATACTCTATGCATTGGGTTACATTGGTAAATCAAGTGAGTTGAAGTGAGCCCAATCAGTCAGGTTCTTCCTGTTGAGCACAATGAAGGTGCCCTGATTTTTTCACCTGTGAATGCTTTGTGACTTGAGTATGAACATGTTGTCTGTTTTCCACTTCGGACAAACTATATTTCACCAGTGGATATCCACTCTGTTTGAACAGATTTGGTGAAAGGGAGAGCCCACAAAGGAGTATACACTTTCGTGATGGCGGGAAAGTTTTTTTAAATCTTCCCCGCCGGTTGGCGCATTTGGCGTTCTGAACTGTGTCTGCTGCGCTCTACGGCCACTTATTTCGGCGCGACCCCCGTCATTTTGGCCCCCAATAAAGGGATTCTGCTACCTACGATTGATCCACGTGACAGATCGGAGGGTCTAGTGTCATTTCTTGATTGCGTCGCATCTTCTAGGCCTCAAGAACCCTGGAAAAGCTCGGAGCCACATGCTGGAGCAAATCTGTGGAGGCTGAGAACACCATGCATTTTTTCACTTTATCTAGACGAGTTGCACCAGCAAATGCAGCACCATTGGTTGAGCCAGAATCCTCGACCACACAGTTTACCAGACGAGTTACACGAACTTTGGGTAAAATAGTCTGCCTATACTAGAAATAGGGTAATGCTTCTGCACCGTCGAGGTGTGCGACGAGCAGTCGTCAGTATAGGTAACCAGCCAGCATATGACGGTGCCATTCCCGTTTATAGTGTCTCTTGCGTAAGATCCACCGGTGACGTATCTCTGAAGTTGGGATCGAGGGATTTCTCACGTTACTCAACCCCGTTGCTAGCATCCCCCTCTCTCACTCCTCCTCGTCACACGAAAATCGTGTATCTCGTGAACATTGTGCCTCTATCCTGTACAGTTTGCTATATTATTAGTTTATACACTCTTACTATTCTCGACCTAAAGTCCAAAAAGCCCAGCGCAACCCCGTTTGGCATTCTTCTGACAGGTTTGCCAGGGTGGCATGTGGTCTGTGCAACGAGAGCCTCAATCTTTCTGACACCCACCAACAACCACTCGACGGCTTCTGGTTTGGAAAGCATGGGCCTCGAAGTTGCACCAGACTCGGAACACCAGGAGCTACTAGAACCATCAGCCCTAATTGCAACCAGAAATCCGAACCAAGCTAGTCATAATTCGCTTTCCAACCACATCCCACATCCCGCTTCTTGCATCCCGCTTTCTCACATCCAACCACATCCTATCCATCATGCATCCTGCATCCCGCATGCGGGGATCATGCCGCTCTCCCCACATCCACATCCCTTCGAGCTATCAAAAACCGCAGAGACGGGCTCATCCACCCTGAAAGATGGGAAATCGGGGATCCGAAGGATCCAAGGTAGCGTGTTTTCGGCAGCCTCGATGGCGGAAACCCGGAATGCCTGAGGAGAGGAATGCACTGCTTACTATCCTCTTACCATGGGCGGTCACGTGACGGCGGAAAAGAATTCGCCCGAGTGACCGTAGAGGAGTCATGATCCGTTCAGCGTGACCCTCCTCCAGTACTATAATATCCATCAGGCTGTTATCATAGACACAATTCATTTGTTTCTCTTCCGCGACCCATCCATCTCAGCATCTCAGAGTCTCTACTGCTTCTCTCTTTTCTTCAAGGGAAGTCCTCTCAATCGCCATTTTCTTCAGGACGTCCTTCGTTAGCTCGCGGAGCCCGCCACCAATTCTCTTCGATTCTATAAATATAGTACCCGGCGAGTACCATGTCTCCGCCAAGTACCATGGATCACACCATGCCAATTGGATTCGACGACAACACCCGACGGAATTCCGCAAATTCCACTAAGCACGATCAGAATTCGACGTCAGCAGCAGCAACCGCTGGCGCCGGTTCTCCGTTCTCCCGGCAATCGTGCTACACACCTGCTTCGCAGCAACAAAGATCATCACCTCCCGCCTGTCCTCAGGCCCCGCGACCATCTGGGCGCGGCCTCAAGAGACACATGCAGCCTACAGAGAACCTCCGGAAACTCTTCAGACCAATCAATTTCGACGGAGTCATCATGAGAATTTGATCTTACAACGGTCAACTCTAAACCCCGTGGCGGGTCCCAGCTTCATCAGGCTCCTCCCAAGGAGTGGCTCTTCAAGAAGTGGCCTTTGGATCAGTTGATTCAAGGAGCAGAGCACAGGCAGTTTGTTAATAGTTACACTTCCAGCCTCTAACTCGCTGGAAGGTCACCCTGTTCTGCCGTGGCTCTGCCTGTAATCATAGAAGATCGTGTACCATGCAGCGCCAAGATGCGCTTTAGTTGAATAAGATCAACCAGAAGAAAGTTCTTGCCTTGTTTTAACTCTACACAACTTTCGGGGGCACTGACTGTACACAAACAGATGTCCTTGGCTTGACATGACACCCTATCCAAAGTTACTAAACACCTTCTTGCACAGGTGATCTCCATAAACCACCGGCTCCAGGGCAGATGGCCTTTTGGTCTTCACCAAATCATTTAAAGGCTCCACTCTTGCATCAAAATTCGGCTGCAAAAACGAAAACCACAAGCAGCGGGCAAAACGGCCAGTCAGTGGAAGAGATCAAGGCCAATCATGATGATAAGACCAGACAAGAAGAGAATTGTTGAGAGAAAACGATGCCAGGAACGTTGCAAACGTGTAGTCACAGACCCCATAATCTCCCAGGCACTTACTTCGTAGAAGAATGGCACTGAGACTCGGAATGTGCGGCTTCTGTTGACAACACGATGGGGAGTTGGCTGGTAGAGCCCGTTCGTCCACAGCTGAGCATACAAAACAAGCGGTGAGAAAAGGTACAACACAATCAGTGGGGATGTTGCACTACCGTATGCTTCAAGGACCATGGATGTCGAACAAGCTGATTTCAGCGGCCTAGAAACGAAGACTTTTGGTATTGCGATTCGGCAACTGCAAGAACTCTGCATGCTGAGCATGCTGCAACGCTTAGGGCGTGTAAAATCGCCGACCATCCCAATTAAGCAAAATCCGTCTGGCCGGTTTTCGCGAAAGTAACCCGTGAACGACATTCGTCAACACAATAACGAATTTCGCAAATTTCGTTAAACATTTGCGACTCAGATGGCCGTTTCAACAAGTCGACTCCGAAACGACGTGGAGTCGACTCCAAACCAAAGCGGCCATGTATCCGACGCGTCGGTGCGACAGATACCTCCGTGTCGCACACTGCTCCATGCGACGGACCGTGTGAAACCTAACCCGTGTGGATCAATTGTGCGACACCGTCACATTTTTCAGGCCATTTGGGCATCTGCAAAATTTACAGCTTCTGTGAACCGGCCTGCAAATCGGTCGCCAAACATGTAAAATCTGCAAATCTGCAATTGAGGGCCGGAAAAGTGTCGACAGAAAGTCGACCAATCTGGCCGGCTTTTGCGAAGGAAATGTCGACCAAATGGTCGACGAAAATCCGGCCATTTGCCATTTTCGCAAATGCGCGGGGATTTTACACGCCCTAAGAATGGATGGGTTGGTGAGGGCGGAGCATTGAGTTGCTGACAAAAAAAAGATAGGCTTTAAGAGCATTATGGGCTTGTCACTACTAAATTGGAGAAATTTTGAGACTCGCCACTACCGAGTCTCTGCATGAGTGATAGAACAGGCAGGAAGGGAAGCACAAGTGCATATTCCGTACCTTGAGCATGTCACCAATGTTGACCACAAAGCTTCCTGGAACTGGAGGAGCGTCCACCCATTCGCCTGCCTTATTCTTCACCTGCCCTTCCCAGAACAAAAGAAGAAAGTGATTTAGAGAATTAAGGCACAAGCAGAAAAAAAGCAGGGGAAAAAGGAAGGAGAAAAAAATCAAAGAAATGTCATGACCAACCCAGTCTAAACGTCCCAGATCTCAGTCTGACTTGATCTGTCACAACCTGATCTGTCAAGTCCTGATCTGTCAACTCCTGATCTGTCAAGTCCTGATCTGTCAAGTCCTGATCTGTCAAGTCCTGACCTGTCAAGTCCTGACCTGTCAAGTCCTGACCTGTCAAGTCCTGATCTGTCAAGTCCTGATCTGTCATGTCCTGACCTGTCAAGTCCTGACCTGTCAAGTCCTGACCTGTCAAGTCCTGACCTGTCAAGTCCTGACCTGTCAAGTCCTGACCTGTCAAGTCCTGACCTGTCAAGTCCTGACCTGTCAAGTCCTGACCTGTCAAGTCCTGATCTGTCAAGTCCTGATCTGTCAAGTCCTGATCTGTCAAGTCCTGACCTGTCAAGTCCTGACCTGTCAAGTCCTGACCTGTCAAGTCCTGATCTGTCAAGTCCTGATCTGTCAAGTCCTGACCTGTCAAGTCCTGACCTGTCAAGTCCTGACCTGTCAAGTCCTGACCTGTCAAGTCCTGATCTGTCAAGTCCTGATCTGTCAAGTCCTGATCTGTCAAGTCCTGATCTGTCAAGTCCTGATCTGTCAAGTCCTGATCTGTCAAGTCCTGATCTGTCAAGTCCTGATCTGTCAAGTCCTGATCTGTCAAGTCCTGATCTGTCAAGTCCTGATCTGTCAAGTCCTGATCTGTCAAGTCCTGATCTGTCAAGTCCTGACCTGTCAAGTCCTGACCTGTCAAGTCCTGATCTGTCAAGTCCTGATCTGTCAAGTCCTGATCTGTCAAGTCCTGATCTGTCAAGTCCTGATCTGTCAAGTCCTGATCTGTCAAGTCCTGATCTGTCAAGTCCTGATCTGTCAAGTCCTGATCTGTCAAGTCCTGGTCTGTCAAGTCCTGACCTGTCAAGTCCTGATCTGTCAAGTCCTGATCTGTCCTGACTTGATCTGTCAACACCTGATCTGTCCTGACTCGATCTGTCATCACTTGATCTGTCCAATTTTCTACCTGTAAGGCTGTGATGCCAGGGTCCTGATTCACAAAAGTAAGAAGGCCTGCAGACACAGGATGCAAAGAGACAGGGTTGCATTTGCACGGGGAAAATATTCGCTCTACCCTAGAGAAATAAATGAAGCACAGGGCCATCGAAAGGTATGAAGAATGGTGCAGCGTAAGTGGGAGAGGTGAGAGGGCATCAGCACACGGAAAGAGATGGCTTTGTAGGGAAATCGGGAGATGCTCCACTGAGCTTTAAGGTGTCCCGAAGGAGGGGATGAGGAGGCGAAAGAAATACGTTGGCGTTTTTAAACATCTCAACGGTGAGAACGAGCCTTGCGTACCGTAATCCGTGTGCTCGCCACTGGGTTGACCACAATTGTCACATTTGTCCCATTTGTCCCATTAGTCCCATGTGTTCCATTCGTGGTTGTCCCATCAGTCAAAATGCAGGATGGCAGTTTGAAGGAGGGGGAGAAGTGTCAGGGGGAAAAGCAGGAAGGGACGAGAGAAAGGCTAAGAGCTGACGCTGAAGCAACATAAGAATGCCAAACATCTACTGTTCCGATGACACAGAAGGCAAAAACAAAACACACACAGAAAAGAGACACACTCACCAGCTGAGCGATTCTGTGTCGTGGACAGCAAGGGGAGGGTAGCCAATGACTCGGATGACCCAGAAGGGGTCGTCCGCCCTGCCGTGCTCAAAGGTGTCGAGTGAGAGGTGCAGCCCCATAGCCATGCCACGTAGCACCGTGCTACCCAGGGCTGGTGGGAGGGGAAGAAGGGGGAAGAGACACACACGGCGGACGCAAACACACACACACACACACACAAGGGGAGGGTAGCCAATGACTCGGATGACCCAGAAGGGGTCGTCCGCCCTGCCGTGCTCAAAGGTGTCGAGTGGGAGGTGCAGCCCCATAGCCATGCCACGTAGCACCGTGCTACCCAGGGCTGGTGGGAGGGGAAGAAGGGGGAAGAGACACACACGGCGGACGCAAACACACACACACACACACACACACACACACACACACACACACAAGGGGAGGGTAGCCAATGACTCGGATGACCCAGAAGGGGTCGTCCGCCCTGCCGTGCTCAAGGGTGTCGAGTGGGAGGTGCAGCCCCATAGCCATGCCCCTTAGCACCATGCGACCCAGAGCTGGTGGGAGGGGAGGGAGGGCAGGAGAGGGAATGGGTTAGGGGGTGAGCAGGAATCACGAATGCTGAGGGGATCGAGTGGGAGGTGCAGCCCCATGGCCATGCCCCGTAGCACCATACGACCCAGAGCTGGGATAGAAAAAAGGGGAGGGAAGAGCAGGAAAGGGAAACCACGGTTCTCATGTTCCTACCTTTCATTTACGTCATTTAGTCCTACTTACCTCTCTATTTTGTCAAATATTACTACCTTTCATTGTTGTCACAAACGTTCATACCTTTCATTTTGGTCACATATTCCTCCACAACCGGCCTGAAACGCTCAGGTTGACTGGGCCTGCATTACATGGAGAGGCAAGGCAGGATGACAACATCACGGGACCTGTAATAAAATAGACTGTGCCACAACGGTGACAGGTGCATGGCAAAACTACCAGAGCAGCAAGCAGCAAGCAACAGCTTATTTCTGAAGATAAATCCAATCTGTTACAGCCTGACAAACATTACAAGCTCCAAGGGTGATTTTATATGCATATATACACACACCAAATATGTACACTGCGTATATGTGTATACATATATTTATGGAAGGTGATTGACAGACAGGGATCGCTGGCAGGGAGGGGTGAATAACATAATGGCAGGGACTGGGAGACAGGTGCTTGCCCCACCATGGGTTGGGGCCGTGAAACGGGTGGTTTCAAGAATTGTAAAAAAACATCATTGGCAGGGAGGGGTGAATAACATGGCAGGGACTGGGTGGCAGGTGCTTGCCCCACCATGGGTTTGGGCCGTGAAGCGGCTTCCCGGAAAGCACAAGGGGATGATTAGCTGGATGCTCCCTGTACAACTGGTGAGGAGGCAGGGAGAGAGGGAGGGAGAGAGGGAGTGAGGAAAGGCAGAGAGAGTGGGGGAGAAGGCAGAGAGAGAGGGAGAAGCGAAGAGAGGGACGCAGAAGGGAGACGTGCACAGAGCTGACACATCCATGCTTGCATGTATGCTGGGGGGAAAAAAATGGGGAACGACGAGCCCAGGGAAGCTTGCGATTCTGAACCAAACAGAGCAGTACACTTGCAAAACAGTTTCTTAGAGAAGAAAACTAGTCACACTAACAAGGTTCACATGAATGGCTCAAATTACCAGCTAAGCACATCAACCGGCTCAGATTACTGACTCAGCTCACATCAACGGCTCAGATCACTGACTCGGCTCACATCAACGGCTCAGATCACTAGCTCAACTCACATCAATGGCTCAGATTACCGACTCAGCTCACACCAACGGCTCAGATCACCAGCTCAACTCACATCAATGGCTTCATGCATGTCGCGCCGGCCCTGAGTGATGTTCTCTCCGAGCCTTTGGTATCCCCTGCACGCATCAAAGGAAAGAATGGGAACTGGGGAAAAAGGCCTCTAAAAAGAGGGAAAAGAAAAAAAAGAGGCAGACAAGCAACCAGACTCGAGTGGGTTGTTGTGAGTGGGCGGGACATATCAGTTCCCTTTTCGCTTACACGCGCACACATGTACGCCACACCACATGAACCCCCTTCCATGCGCACACCCTCTACCTCCCTCACATGCACGCATCCCAAACCCTCCTCACCTCACAGGCCCAAAGGCCCTACCTGAAAATCGGAGACTTTGAGAGGGCAATCTCGTTTTTAGTTTCATCAGCAAGTGCAAAGAACTCTCTCCCCACTTCCCGAGCATCATCCACCAGCTGCTGGGACACGCCATGGCCCGTCTGGCATTTGCCACGAGGAAATAATAGGCAAGACACACACACAGAGCAGAACTGAACCATGCGAAGAACTCTCTCCCCACTTCTTGATCATCGTCCACCAGCTGCTGGGGCACGCCATGGCCACTCTGGCAATGGATGTCAATCCATGTCAATGCACGACAATGCAAGTCAATGCACATCAACCAATGTCAATGCACGACTATGCACGTCAATCAGGTCATTTTTTTGCCAAACCATGTTGAGAAGAAACGTGACAGGAGTAGAATATAGCTCATGCAAGAACGAGTTTTGGTGAGCCTTAGCTTAACTTACTACGTTCCAGCCTTTGATGCTGAGACCAACCAACGACCATGGAAAAATTTCCGTCATATAGTAGCAGACGCTACCGGGTGCTAAAAGCACATAGATTTCCTTATAATCGCCTGCAAGGACGCCAATTAGAAAAAAACACAGAAACAGACTTACAAGGTAAAAGAAGCCGACTTCCTGGCAAGCTGCATGGATCTCTGAAGCAACCCGCCTGACGTCACTGGGGTACGACGCCTCTTGTGAAGCTTCTGATGAAGTATTTGGTAAAGCTGGGTTCAGGCTCGTGTCGGAACAGAACTCAACGAGAGGAGAGATGTCTGTGGGAAAAAAACAAGACATACAGAACATTACTAAAGGAGGCGAGTTATCTATGAGCCAATCCGGCTGATATCGATGGCGTATGACGCTCTAATGAAGCTTCTGATGACGCCTGACGTCACTGCCTGGAGCGTGAACAAATAGACGTACCGATCTTCGGGAGCTCCTGAAACGTGCGGACTAAGATGTCCTTATTCGCGACCACGTGCAGCACTCCTAGCTTCTTTCGGTAAGTGAAGATTATCGTGGAAGGGTATGTTTTCCGTCGAATCGCAGCAACGCCATGGGTGCGGGAACCGCTCCAGGCTGATGTTTGTTGGCATAAGGATGAGAAGAAACAGGTCGCCGACATCCTAAAACTACTTACAGGCGGGGGTATATAATGTTACAATGCTACAGGCGACGACCGATGCAAGCGGGTTTGTGCTGGTTCTAAGAGAGAGGATTTATTGGAATCGCTGCTAGACCTTCATAGTGGTAGGGTGGTTAATCACTGCTTCCACTGTGCATTCTTCTGGCCAAAATTAGGAGATTTAGTAGCACCAAGAAAGACCAAGCACCAGGAAATAATCTGAACATGCAAGGGTGATGATGCTGGAGTCAAGGACGAATTGTTGTTGGATTCTCTGTGTCAGGGACTGACAGCTGATGTTGGAGTCAAGCTTCACCACTTTCGCGAAGTTGCGAAAGTTGATTTGCATGAATTTCGTGGTGGTAACTACATTACCTCGGAGAGCGAACATATCTTGTCCATTCTACCTCCCTGATTGTCCCACCCAGTCCTGTCTGTCTTGGGATTGTGTTGTGTCAGATTTTCCCGCGCTGAGAAGTTCTGTTCTGTCTGGCGCTGAAGCTGTGGCGGGATTGGCTAGGGTAGGGTGCCACCTGTGAGGGCAGGTCCATACGTTCATTCTGTCTCAACACCTATAAACCGGTTTATAGTTTTATTTGACCGTTTAAAACATGAACTACCTCATTCAGAGACATTCGGAGTGTCAGCCTGCATTCCGTTGAGATATATACATCGACTATTCAGTGCTTTCCCCGTTCTGCTCGTTTCTTGCACGCAGCCTCCACGCATCCACTGCTGCTCTGCTCTGCCAACTTGAATCGCCTGAATCAGCACAGCTCGGGTCAGGTTACCATATTCAGTTCCAGTGTGTAATCTATGTGATCTGTAGTCACTCGCGCCGCCTGTGAGGCACGTATGCTGCTCCTGGCTCGTATGCGACTAATACACGATGGTCGCCTTGTTTTCGGCCAAGCATTCAGATTTTGAGTCTGTGTCCGCAACTAGGAGTCCCCTGCGTCCTGGTCGAACCGCATTTCCGATTTTATACAAGCTTCCATCACGAGCGCGCGGAGGGCTATCCGTTTTCGCCATACTCGCAATCCTCACAGCCACCGTTATAATCACGCACAGCAGCCTGGGAGGCGTCGTTTCAACTGGCATCAACCCCGGCAAAGCAGTGCGCTGGATTACGCGATATACGGAGAATCTGACGGCTCAGATCGCCTTACACCGGGAGATAAACACCCCAATTGTAGCTTCGCCAGAAGGTCGTGTAGTTTGTTGGTGGTCCGGTGCACATGGCGGCTATTCAGGGCTGGAAAATCTCGCAGCCGCGGAGTTCACAGAGCAGAATAGGAGGAAGGGAGGTGTGATAGTATCGGGGTCTGGCTGTGCTCGCTGCACGGTAGGCGAGCTCTGCGCGTTTGACATCGATATAAGAACACCAGTGGGATGGGATGTCACCCCGCCGCCCGATATAGTCGACGTGGCGCGCGGCGCGACGGCCAATCTCACGCTCAACGTGGATCGAACCAGCAATAACGCGAACTCCAGCGGATACCACGGCGGGGATCTCGCCGCGAATGGCAGCGGAGGGGACGGAGGGGACGGCGGATGGAGCGGAAGCGGAAGGGCGATGGGAGTGGGTGATTCTAGAGAGTCTCTTGTAGTGCGCCTGGTGGGGCCGGCGTTAGCGGCAGCGGATGTGACTAAAGAGGGAGGTGACATTAGGAAATGGAGAATCTCATACCGAGTGTGGGATGCAGGGAATTACAGCGTGCTCCTTTTATCCTTATGTGGAAATCTGGATTTCACCCGCAACAGCACTGAACGCGCCCTAGGCACGGTGGCCGAATGGAACCTGACGGTACTTCCAAGCCCTGTTCCTGCTCCTCCATCCTCTGCCATCATTTCATCCACTAATTCAATCACTGAATTGCCTGGAACTGCCTATACCACGTACACCACTACCGAATCCTCAGGGAGAACTGATTATAACGAGTACCAGGACACCCCATGTGACCACTCCGCGTACGGCCGGTGGCTCTTTGACCCGCCAAAGGGCAAGTACACGTGGCAGCTGTACCCCTGCGCACAGCCTCTCCCGCCGCCCTCTGAATGGCTCACCGCGCTTCAGTCTCGGGGCATCTACGAGATTAACATTGTTGGGGATTCCCATCAACGGCTCTTATTCAACCACCTCTTTTTCCTGCTCACAGGGGAAGCATATGCTTCTCGTTCCAAGGTCCATCATGACCTGAAGCACGTGGTCATGCCTCCTCCTCCCACACCCTCTCCACCTTCTCCTGCTCCTGCTGCTGGTTTGCATGACACCCCTGCTGCTGCCTCCGCCGCTGCTTCCACTGGCGATGGGGTGCCGATCGGCAATAGCAGTCAGCCTGCAGAGTCGCGGCCCTTAAAGCTCAACTTCTACTGGATTGCCGGGATTTACAACATCGGGCAATACGGATGCAAGTAAGTGCGCTGCATGATAGCTTGAGTTGACTTATGCATCATTAAAGCTTAACTTTTACTGGATTGCCGGGATCTACAACATCGGGCAATACGGATGCAACTAAGTGCATGTAGCACTGCATGACTGTTTAAGTCAACTCAAAAAATGTGTACTGGATTGCCAATATCCACAGCATTGAGCGATACAGATGCAAGTAGGTGCGCTGCATGATTGTCTGAGTCAGCTCAAGAAAACCTGTATTGGATTACCGGAGCCAGCCATTCCCCATCTCACCAGCAGCAGACGTCACCATAATCAATGGTGGCACGTGGATCCACGGATTCTGCCCGAATATGCTTTCGTGTTCTTATGCGTGTGTGTGTTTTGTGTGTCCATGTGTGTGTGTGTGCATTCCATGAGTGCAGGAAGAAGTTTTCGAATCAGGGCGGCCCATTCCCCACCATCTCATCAGCAGCGGACGTGACCATAATCAACGGTGGCACGTGGATCCATGGCTTCTGTGATGCACCCGAAGATGCTTTCGGGTTCTTTCTTCCAAGGTTCCTTCACTGGTCTTATTTGCAAATGCAGGCAGCTCGAAAGTGGCATGCTGCGAGAGAGCGCCTTCTTGAAGCACTAAAGCAGAAACAGCAGCAGCAGCAGCAGGAGCAGCAGCAACAGCAGCAGGAGGATCAGGCGTGGTCGCAGGAGCACGGGCAGCAGGCAGTTGCACGAGGCAACGTCAACGAATCTCTCAGTGCTGCTTCTGAAGCAGGTAACAAGGGCTCCAAAGGGCCATGGCTGCTGTATCGGACCATCCCTCCGTTACAACGTAACAGTTTCTGCCGTTACGGGTCAAACATTCTAATATCTCATCTGAATAACGTGGCAATTGCACATCTAGCGCGATATAAAATTGGGGTTTTAGATGGGCGGCATGTAGAGGTGCCAAATATGGAAGACCTCTGTAGAGCTGGCGATAACCATTACAGTTGTTTTAGGCACCGCCCAAAATTTGGGAAAGGGAAGGGGGTTTATGAAGGTGATGTAGGGGAGGCTATGGTCTACATGATGATGTATCATCTGCTAAATTTGTTGGACTGATTCTCTAACAGCGAGTCCCAAAATCAGTTATGATTTAGAGGGTGCGTGATGGGAGGGAGCTCGTTTTCCTCTCTACACTGCCTAAAAACGAACCTTTGTTCACCTCAAAACATCTACTTATGGTGTGATTTTACAATGGTCTCAGATGTTCCTCCGTCCCTTTATGGCTTGATTTGTTTTTTCAGTAACCTTTTTTCCTTCTTACGCTATCATCTGATTTCGCAAACGCGAAATACAGGGATATTTCGGTTACACGGATATCGGCTTCCTGAATTCTGATTCCACTGCGATTCACACCGCCTCCAACGCGAGGAATCGCGAGAGAAGGAATCACCAGGTAACCAGGCCCACGGCAGGCTACGTCAGCCCGTGAGTCAGCCACATCCCCACCCCTCCCCACCCAGCTGCGTCATTGGGTGCTGGGTGACTGCGTCAGGGGGTGGTGGTCCCCTCCCCCCCACCCCAACCACCCCACGAGCATTTCGGGCCTGGCCTCCTGGTCAGGGGCCAGGGCCTAGGTTTCCGCGCTAGCCGCGAGTACTGAGCACGGTGGGCTCGAGAGACACGGAGGACCAGCAAGCAAGTCACGCGATTCATCGCTTGTCGCAAAAAGTTCACTCTGGTACGGTTCACGTCGTTTTATTTGCGTGCGGTTACGTTCAAGAGCGGTTGAATACGGCTTTGTAAATCCCACCATCTCTTGCACAACCCAAACTTTCTTCCCAGTCTCCCCTCGTCAGTCAATCCGTAAATACACTGCCTCGTCAGTCATTCAGAAGGTCTAGGTCTTGCCTTCTCATGCGTGGACTTTCCTCGTGCGTTGTGTTGCGTCGTCCTACGTCATGCCTCGTTTCTTGTCGCTGGATCTTCCTGCGCGCATTCCGCCCTGATGTGCTCTGCAACAAGCCTGAATCGAACGAGCTCCGGTTAGAATTCCAAGGTGATATAAGGCCGCTCAGGATGGCGATGCTTGTAGTAGTTCCGGCTGGCCGTTCTTGCAAGAATAAACGACGTTCGTTCTTTCGGTCACCCATTCACATCAGCCGTTCTTGCAATATTAGCATTGTTCGTTTTTTCCCTCATCATTTCACATTAGCCGTTATTGCAAGAGTTAACGATGCTTGTTCTTTTGGTCACCCATTCACAATCTGACAATGTATCCGCAAAGAGGATTCCCGTGCGTCTTTGTGGATTTGCATACCGCGTGCTATCCGCCTTCGCAATTATCGCAATCCTCACAACCTCTATTATCACGCACAGCCAGAATGGCGTCTTTTCAACTTGCTTTAACGCTAGCAAGATCGGGAGGTGGCGTCATACGCGATACAAGGAGAATTCGACCGTTGAAAACGACTCACGCCGCGTCATTATAAGCAGCCCAATCAAGAAACCGTCGGAAGATCGAGTTGTATGTTGGTGGTCCGGCGCTCATGGCGGCTATTCGGGAATGGAAGAATCCGCGATGGGGGTTACAAGGAAGAACCTATTGAAGAGGAGGCCTTCCGGGAAGGGAGGTGTGATAGTATCGGGGTTCGGTTGTGCTCGCTGCACGGTAGGCGAGCTCTGCTCGTTTGACATCGATATAAGAACACCAGCGCGATGGGATGTCACCCCGCCGCCTGATATAAGCGACGTGATGCGGGGTGCGACGGCCAATCTCACGCGCAACGTGGTTCGGACCAGCAATAACGCGAACTCCAGCGGAAATCGCGCCGAGAATCACGCCGCGAATCACGCCGCGAATGGCGACGGAAATGGCGGAGAGAACGGCGGATGGAGCGGAAGGGCGATGGGAGTGGGTGACTTTCGAGAGTCTCTTGTCGTGCGTCTGGTTGGGCCAGCGTTAGCGACAGCGGATGTGACTAAAGAGGGCGGTGACATTAGGAAATGGAGAGTCTCTTACCGCGTGTGGGATGCAGGAAATTACAGCGTGCTCCTGCTATCAGAATGTGGAACTTTGGACTTCACCCCCAACAGCACTGAACGCGCCCTAGGCACGGTGGCTGAATGGAGCCTCACGGTGCTCCCACGCGCTGTCACTGTTCCTTCACCCTTCGATTCAATCCTATTCACCGATATAAGCACATCCACCGATTCAGTCCAAGTCGATTTCCCAGGAAATTCTGACTACCAGGACACACCATGCGACCACTCAGCGTACGGTCGGTGGCTCTTCGATCTGCCAAAGGGCAAGTACACGTGGCAGCTGTACCCCTGCTCGCAGCCTCTCCCGCCGCCCTCTGAATGGCTCAGCGCGCTTCAATCTCGGGGCATATATGAGATTAACATTGTGGGAGATTCGCATCAACGGTTCCTGTTCAACCACCTCATCTTCTTGCTCACAGGGGAGGCGTACGCGTCCGACGCCAAGACACGTGGTAATATGATGCACGAGGTCTTGCCCTCTCCTCCTCTTCCTCCTCCCTCTCCTCCCTCTCCTCCCGCTCCTTCTACAGATCAAGTTTCTGGATCCTTTTTTCCCCATTCTCCTGGTGCTTCCTCTGCTCCTGCTGCTGAACTGCCTGACGCCCCTGCTGCTGCCGCCTCTGCTCCTGCTGACGAAGGGGCAATACAAGGCAGCAACAGCAATCAAGCTGCAGAGCTGCGGCCATTGAAGCTCAATTTCTACTGGATTGCTGGGATCTACAATGTTGGGGAACACGGATGCAAGTAAGTGAATACAAACAGAATTGTGTTTGCAAAGACAAGGGAAGATCGAAGATTCCTAGGAAGGAGTAAATCCCTCCCAGCATGTTTTAATGCTCGAGCAAAGCTATAGCAGACGTATTTTCCTGACCCGCTTGATTCGTATCGCCAGCTTTCTGTTTTGTCTAATGGGCATCACTGTTCGGATGTTCGTATTTTCCGTGTCGAACTCTGCCTCAGTGCAACTAGTTTTGAGGCGCCTCAAAACTAGCCTCCCCCCTCCGGTTTTGAGGCACCTCAATACTATTTTCCGTGTCGAACTCTGCCTCAGTGCAACATGTGTTTATGCCATGCCCACCCCGCTCCTCAACGTGTGCGTGTGTGTGTGTGTGTGTGTGTGTGTGTGTGTGTGTGAGTGTGTGTGTGTGTGTGTGTGCATGTGTGTGTGTGTGCATGTGTGTGTGTGTGCATGTGTGTGTGCATGTGTGTGTGTGTGCATGTGTGTGTGTGTGTGTGCATGTGTGTGTGTGTGTGTGCATGTGTGTGTGTGTGTGTGCATGTGTGTGTGTGTGTGTGTGTGTGTGCATGTGTGTGCATGTGTGTGTGTGTATGTGTGTGCATGTGTGTGTGTGTATGTGTGTGTGTATGTGTGTGTGCATGTGTGTGTGTGTGTGTGTGTGTGTGTGTGTGGGGATGTCAATGCAGGAGGGGGCTCCTGAGGCAAGGCCGGTGGTTTCCTAACTTCTCAACAACAGCAGACGTCACCATTATCAACGGCGGTACATGGACCCATGCATTCTGTGACACTCCCCAAGATGCATTCGGACTCTTCCTCCCTAGGTTCCTGCTCTGGGCCTATACGAAAATGCGGACGGCTCAAAATCGGCGGATTGAGAGAGAGCGTCTTTCTGAGATAGCAAGGCAGAAAAATCAGCAGCAGCAAGAGCAGAAGCAGCAACAGCAAGAGGAGCAGGAGCATGAGCAGGAGCAGGAACTGGAGCAGCGACAACAGCAGGAGCAAGAACAGGAGGGGGAGGAGCAGGAGGCAAGTGCACAAGGCAGCAGTGTCAAAGAGTCACAAGGGAGCAGCGTCAAAGAGTCTTCAAGTGCAGCTTCTGATGCAGGTAACAACTCCAAAGGGCCATGGCTCCTCTACCGGACCATCCCTCCGTTACGACATAACACTTTCTGCCATTATGGGTCAAACGGCCTTATTTCACACTTAAATTTCGTGGCAGTTTCTCATTTGGCAAGATATAACATTGGGCTTTTGGATGGGCGAAGTGTAGAGATGCCAAAGATGGAAGACTCCTGTAGTGCTGGCGATAACCATTACAGTTGTTTTGAACCCCGCCCAAAAATTGGAAAGGGGAAGGGAATTTATAAAGGTGATGTAGGGGAGGCTATGGTGGATATGATGATGTATCAATTGCTATATTTGTTAGACTGATTCTCTAAAAGTTCTTATAACAAAAAATCCCTAAACCTGTTCTCTTTGTTAGGTGGTGATGGCATGAGAGAGCTCGTTTTGCGCTCTATGCTACCCAAACACTCGATTCTGTAAATGAACCGTTCGTCACCGCAACACATTTCACTTAAAGCCCGAGTCCCAAATTGCGAGGCGCATGGGTCATGCTTTTAAAACTTGACGAAGTGCAGTGTGCAAGCTTTGAAAAGTAGCGCACCTGCAATTTGGGACTTCCGGGTGCTGACACAACCCCCAGGGCGAAATACGTGGGCTGTCTGGTTTTGGCGAAAAAAAACGAAATGCCCGAAATCGGAATCACTCGCCAAAGCCCAAAGCAGGAAAAACCCATCGCGTCATCCTTGTCGTCCTGATGTAACTTGTGCAATTTGGGCTTCCGGCTTTAACTGCTTTTGGTCTCAAATCCCCTAGATTGTCAAATCCCCCTCTGATTTCTGCCTCGTCCTAAATGCATCGTCCCAAATCTCTTGGAGCCATTTCTCCGCCGGTCTCCAAACAAAGCATTTCTTTATCCCATGCATGTTTCGCTTCATGCCTTGTCGTCCTGATGTAACTCCGTTTTATCCGCAGCGCGCCAAACGCCACTTGATAGAAATGGCGCCGTCGAATCCGCTTTTCTCGCCGTCACCTGCGGCGCTGTCATTCATGAACTCCCACTTTCAGCGGCTCGAAGATCTCTCGCTCGCGCCAAATCTCCTAGGCAATCTCTCTTCGGAGATTAAAGACCTAATTTCGCGTAAAGATTCGCTCTGTTCGTCTCTCGCCTCCTCGCTCCAACCAGCAGATGACGACAACGTCCGAACCAGCAGCTCCAGGCTCGGCGAATCCGAGCCTGATGCACGTTCGGGAACGATTTCTTCCGTGGCTGCTCGCGCGCTCCAATCCATAGCAGCCACGTCAGAACGAATCGAAGAATGCCACGTGCGCGCCTCCGTGGCGGCCGCTGACGTGCAGCCAATGGTGGATCGGCTTGCCAGGCTGGCAGCTGAGGTGGCGAGATGCGAGAGGGTGAGAGGATACGTAGAGGTGGTGATAGGATTTGAGAGGCAAGTAGGGGATGTGGAGGAGAAAGTGGGAATGGCGGTGGGGCTATGGAGGAAAGAAATTGGCTCTGCTGCTTCTTCCTCTTCTGCCTCTGCCTCTGCTTCTGCCACTGCTGCTGCCGTTACTTCTGCTGCTGCTACTGCTATTGCTGCTGCTGACACTGGTGCAGGTGCTGCTGGTGCTTCTCCTGCAGCAAGTGTCGCCCCCATCACTTCCAGGAAGCAACCGTTTCGAAACCCTAAGCTCCTCTCCTCCCTCCGCACCGCCGCTCACGCCGTCCTCACCGCATCCAACCGCTCCGCGTCCACCTCGCGCCACCACCCGGCCTGGTCCCGCCTGCTGACAGCTGTCGATCTGCGATTGGACGCTGCGACTGCTGCCCTGCTAGGCCCTCTGATGGAGTGCTACAGGGGGTGTCTCGCTGCTGCCGGCTGGCCCCCTCCCCTTAGAAAAGGAGGGGGAGGAGGAGGAGGGGAAGAAGGAGCAGCAGCAGGTGCTCCTGCTGCTGCTGCTGCAGGTTCGGCGCTGGATCGACTTGCCGGACCTGGAGGCGAGCTTCGGGCTGAGTTCACGAGCCTGTTTTTGGCGCTATGCTCTCTGCAGCACGCGCAGAAGGTGAGGCGAGAAGCAGAGCAGGTACGGATTCGAAGCGAAAGCGAGGTAGCATATATGGAGGATGAAGAGGAGGAAGAGGAGCAGGAAGAGGAGGAGGAGGCAGACCTAGAGAATATCCGGAACCTTGGCAATACTCAAGTAGAAGAGCCGTTGCTATGGGGGATGGAGGAGCTGGTTCAGCCAATAGCGTCGCAGGCCCGGCCGCCTTTCGACCAATGGGGAGCGAGCGGGCGGACGGAGTGGGCCTTTGCGCTGACTCTCCGTGTGGCGTTGACTGGCGTTGACTCGTTTGACCTGGCGCTACAGCCGCTGGTGGACGAGGAAGGGCTCACAGGGGTGAGTGTGCGGGAGGGCTGGGTCCGGGCCGTGGTTCGGATGCTCCCGATCCACTTTCTGCGGAGGTCCGTCGTGCCGAGCCTAGCTGGGAAGCTAGGAAGCGCAGGGATCGAAGGAGGAAGAGGTGGGGGAGGGAAGGGGGAGGAAGCTTGGGAGGAGGAGTTAAGTGAGGATGAGGAGAGGGCAGCAGCAGCAAGGGAGTGGCTGCGAGTGGTGAGTGAGTGTATCGCCTTTGACTCTGCCATGACTCGCCTGCTGGTCTTTGGCTCTCCTGCTTCTTCCGCCGGTGCTGCTGCGGTCACTCCTGGTGTTGCCACCGACGCTGCTGCCGGTGCTGCCGGTGCTGCCGGTGCTGCCGGTGCTGCTGCGGTCACTCCTGGTGTTGCCACCGACGCTGCTGCCGGTGCTGCCGGTGCTGCCGGTGCTGCCGGTGCTGCTGGTGCTGCTGGCGCTTCTGGTGTTGCTACAACCACTGCTGCAGCTGCTGCGGACAGTGCAGATCTTCCCGTGCCAGCATCAGATTTCTGGGCGGCACTGCAAGTGGATCCCACAGTGGGAGTCTTCGCGGAGCGACCTGATTGGCTGCTGCTCTGGATCCAATTGGAGCGGGCCAGCGCACGCAGGGGCGTGCTAGCTGTCATGGGCAGGGACGCTTCCTGGAAGGTTCCACGGGATGGGGAGGACGAGGCAAGCATGGGGTTGCAGGAGTTGACCTCTACTGGCCTACTGCTGAATGCGGTTGACCGTTCTGCAGCAACGGAAACAGCAGGAAAGGGAATTGTTGAGTTCCGACCGCCGCCCGTTGCTCTTCAGCTGATTGAGATTCTCCGGGCGGCAGTCTCCCGATGCGGGCGGCTTTCTGGGACCGTATCTGAAGGCAGTGTAGCAAGCAGCACTGTAGCAGGCAGCAGTGACAGTAATGAGGGGAGTGGCGCCAGCACTAGCATGACCAGCCCCAGGGCCATTGGCCGCGGACGGCAGCGCCTGTCTTATGTCGAGGGGCTCTGCCGCCCGATTCTCTCGGCGTTTCTGAAAGAGACGGAGCAGAGGGCAGACGAGATAGAAGCAGCAGGAGCCCTGGCGAGAGATGGGGATCTAGAGGATATGGCTGGGTGTGCCACTGCTGCCAGGTTTGTGGCTCATGCCTTGGTAACCTGGCAGGATGAAGGGTTTCTGGTGGAGGCATGGGAGGAGGGGAGGAGGGAGAGGAGGGAGAGGCAGGCGAGGAAGAAGGCGAGGGAGCCTCTTCCGCAGCAGAGGAAGAAGGAGAGTCAGCAGCAGCAACAGCAGGAGAAGGAGAACGAGAGGGAGCAGGCTGAATCTGCAGGAAGGCGAAAGGTGGAAGGGGAGGATCAGGAGCAAGAGCAGGAGCAGGAGGAGGAGGGAGGAGGAGACGGATGGGAGCTACTGGATGCTGAAGAGAACGAGAATGAAGGCGAGAAACAACAACAGCATCAGCAACGCCAGCAACATCAGCCGGGGGAGAACCAGCAGAAGAACCAACTGGAGCAGCAAGGAGAGCAGCGTGCAGGGAGACAAGCAGAGCAGCAAGCAGAGCAGCACATGCACCGCATTCAGGCCCTACTAGACCAGTTCGAGGGTCCCGGGCCGGACCTCTTCTCCTCCGAGCTTCACCGCCTCGCCGCGCTCCACTCCACGCTCGTTGCCAGGCTGGCGACAGCTGTCGCGCGCGGATTCGTCTCCCGCAGTGCAGAGTATCCCCGTGCCATTGTGCGCGTCCAGGCCCCTCCTCTCTCCCTTCCCTCTCCACCCTCTCCTACCTCTCCTCCTTCTCCTTCCGGCGATGCACACTCCCTCTCCCTCTCCTCCACCTCCCTCTCCTCCTCGTCCCTCGCCCTCTCCTCCTGTCTGGTCGATGCTCTCACCTTTCTCCGCCTCCGATTACTCTCCGCCCGCCACTCACTCGACGCAGCTCTCTTCTCCTCCTTCTGGCGCCACCTCGCTGCCTTCCTGGACAGGTACCTAGTGGATAGGGTCGTGTTGGGACGAGAGGTGAGCGTAGGCGTGGGTGTGGGGGTGGGGGTTGGGGTGGGGGCTACAGAGGTGGCTGGAGGGGGAGGGAATGGAGGAGGTGGAAGGGCGAGCGGAGGAGGGCCAGGTGTTTTTTCAGATGGGATGGGGTTTCGGAGTGCGTCGAGTGCGAAGAAAAGTGCAGGTGGTGGGCCAGGGCTTGTGCTGGGCAGTTTGAAATTTTCGGAGCGGGCCGGGCAGCAGTTTTCGTATGACATGCAGGTGGTGGTGTCTGTGTTTGAGATCGCCACCCCCCGCCCACTGAACTTCTTTAAAAGGACGAGAGACGCCGGCCGGCTGATGGCCATGACGGATAGAGACGCCAACGGGTTACTGTTCATGTTGTCGCTTGTGAGCGGTTCTGGGGCCGCATCGTCTTCATCCTCGTTATTAGCTTCTTCATCCAAAGCACTGGCATTGGCCGGTGCAGCTATAGGGGCTGCTGGAGCTGCTGCTATTGGTGCTGGTGGTAGGGATACCAGCAGTGGCAAGGATTCAGGGGTTGATAGCCCAGAAGCCAGAGTGCAGCAGCAGGAGCAGCAGCAGCAGGTGGAGGAGGAGGAGAGGCAACAGAGGGCGGCTGCAGCTTTGAGGCGGAGAGGGATTTTGCATTTACAGGCAGGGGAAGTGCAGGCTGTGCTGGAGAGACGTGCTCTGCCAAAAAGGTAGCTGGTATGGTTCATAGAGCCAAATTAGACTTGTGAAATAGCTGGTAAAACCTTGTTTTTGTTGGAAACAATCGATCTTAAGCGCCTCTGTCGTGTCGAAACACTAAGGCACAAACGAAGCGAAGCATATCGAAGCACCGGCGAGTCAACCCTCGGAGGTTGAAAGCAACTGTTGGAGGTTACGCGAAAGCCAAAGGTCAGCGACCTTTGACCTGACAGAGTACAGCGCGACAGCAAGGACACACAACTGACTCACTACAGAGCAGTTGCCCGAGTCGTCACTGTATCGAACCGCAACAGCAACAGTAAAACAGTTATAACTGTAACCCTTCATATTCCTTGTACTCTTATATATAATCTTGTATCTCTCTGTTTTAATTAATCAACTTTGCCCTCACATACTAGCGCAAGGTGGTTCACAACTCTTCATTAAACGCTTCCGCTATTACATTAGTCCTACCCTGAGTTCACCCCTGCAAAGATCCTAAGGGCTATTTTCTCAGCCCAACATGGTATGAGAGCTATCAAGGGGAATTCAACTATCAAGACACCTACAACATCAACAGGCATGGCTACACAAAAGGAAAGGAGCTCCTCCAACGGCTCCCAGGGCACTACTCCTACTCCACCTCCTGCCTCTGGCCTACAGACAGAGGAGGGTACGGCAACAAGACCCAGGGCAACATCCACCGAAACTCCCGCAAACCAAGCCGCGGGCTTCGACCCAAGTATGATGGAGAAGTTCTTCTCCTTCATGTCTTTCTACGAGCAACACCAGCAATCGGCACCTGCGCAGTCACACAATAGCAACAACAACGGAGCAACTCCCATGAGTCTCGACGGCTCATCATACGCACGAGGAAATCAACAGCAGCAGCCTACCTTTGCTCCGTACGAGCGCGGGTCCATTAGCTTTATGCCACACCCGCAGCCTTCACCTGGACAAGAAAAGCCACTGGACGCATTACAAGTTCAGTCGCAGTTCGCGCACGTTCTGAAGATGCAGACGTCAAGACCTTTCGATGGAAAGAATTTCTTCACCTGGTCGTTTGAATTCGAGTTAATGATGGAAGGCGCGCAGATACTTGGCTTCTTCGACGGGTCCCTGCCATACCCAACAAACGGCACACAGTATGAGAAGCAGCAGTACACCTATCAGTCGATGATGGCGTACACGATTCTACTGAGAAACATCACCCCGACTCAACAGCAGAATATACGGTCTTACCGGGGTTACGGCAACTCCGCGGAGCTCGCATACAACCACTTGAAGAGCCAGTATCAAGCAACAGACAGCGTAAATCAAAGTCGGTTAATGGCGCAACTGACAACGGTCGAAATGAAACCAGGCGAGAAAGGAATGGCGTATATCAGCCGATGTCGCGAGTTGCGCGACAAGCTTCTTCGATGCGGAGGGTCGATTTCTGAAGACGCCTTCGTGACAGTCATCATTGGCGGCCTCGGTCCTCAATGGCGCGCCACAAAGGCCATTCTCCGAGCCCACGGAAGAATCTCCGAAGCAGCACTCTGCGCCGAAATCCATGCCGAGCAACAAGACATGGACCTGCAAGAAGAACGACACAAGAAGAAGACATCAGCACCGGAATTTGCATTCCACACTCAGCGACGCTACAACAACAACAAACAACAACAACCGAAGCCCGTACCTCCGTTCTGCCACATCTGCAAGACGTCAAGGCACCCGCGCACGCACTGCCCGAATCGACAACAGTCAACGCCTTCACAGCGGCAGCTTCGACCTTCAAGCAATCAAGTCGCCTCAACACAAGCAAATCCTACGACCCAGATTAAAGCCTCAACGACCTCAACAGGACAACCTGCAAAAGGAGCAAGGAACATCGTCAGTTGCATGGCAAGACTGAGCGACTCTTGCATCACGGGATCACCACCGTACTACTCACCGGAAGAACAACTCGACGACACCACACCTCACCGCGATTCACTCCAGCCGAATCCGACATACGCAGCCATCGCCCAAAGCGAACCATCCGGAAAGGACACATGGTTCTTGGACAGTTGCTGCGGACAACACGTGTGTTCTTCAGGACGCTTCGTGCAACGAGAGAACCAACTCCAACGCGAAGTAGTCATCACCGTCGCCAACAACGAAAGCCTGCGCACACAACGACAAGGAATCGTTCAACTTCAGTCACGAGAGACAAATGTCATACTACAAATGTCCAAGGTCTTAATCGCAGAAGGCCTCGGCTACAACTTACTCAGCGTTAGCCAACTGATGGCTAAAGGTATCCACCTTGAAGCAGACAGCACCACTCAGGAGTTCAAGCTGTACCACGGGAAGGGCGGTCTCTACATCGGAAAGGCGATCCTGAAAAATAACGTCTTCGTTCTTGATTTTGTTCCAGATCTCGGCACAGCAGACAGCGACGGCATCGTCACCTTCACTTCCTGGACCCACCCTCCAGACCTTGATCCAGACTTCAGCCCCGGCGGCTTCTGGTATTCACACACCATCCCTGAGGCAGAAAGAACAAGGGCGTTAGCAACAATTCAAACAACATCGGCAGCAGCAGAGACAACAGCAGAGACAACATCGGCAGCAACAGAGACAACATCGGCAGCAGCAGAGACAACATCGGCAGCAGCAGAGACAACATCGGCAGCAGCAGAGACAACATCGGCAGCAGCAGAGACAACATCGGCAGCAGCAGAGACAACATCGGCAACAGCAGAAACAACATCGGCAGCAGCAGGAACGTCAACGCCAGTCGCTGGTCCTTCAACGGCACCACTCCTCGTCGACGACACACCACCGACACCCGCGCAACAACTACACCCAGCACCACGAGAAGTTCATCGAAGCGCCAACTTCACCGCCAGCTTCTATTCCAACTCCGATATGTATCGGCGCTCACCCGGACATCGCGCCACCGAAGGAACCTGGCACGCAAGAATGGGACATCCAAGCAACACGGTGTTAAACAACACGATAAGAGCAGGCGTGCTCGATAAAGACTCTCTACTCCTAACTGACTGGACAGAGCCACGTCACCAGCAGCGACACTCCAGAAGCGAAGGGGAGTGTTGGAAACAATCGATCTTAAGCGCCTCTGTCGTGTCGAAACACTAAGGCACAAACGAAGCGAAGCATATCGAAGCACCGGCGAGTCAACCCTCGGAGGTTGAAAGCAACTGTTGGAGGTTACGCGAAAGCCAAAGGTCAGCGACCTTTGACCTGACAGAGTACAGCGCGACAGCAAGGACACACAACTGACTCGCTACAGAGCAGTTGCCCGAGTCGTCACTGTATCGAACCGCAACAGCAACAGTAAAACAGTTATAACTGTAACCCTTCATATTCCTTGTACTTGTCAGATTTATATGACATAGCTACTGTAGGCTATAGTGGGGTAGCACATATGGGGTACAGTTTTCTAGGGTTTGCTTCTTGTACCCAACTTTCACTTAGTCATTCCATTCCTCGTTTCTTCTCATGGTATCGAGCAGGTTCCCTAGTGGGAACGATTCCTAGGGCCCACCACCACGAATTTTTTTTTTCCTGCCCGGAGCGCGTTTTGCGCCGGCCCGAGTCGCGCCGCCCTTTCGGCCCGTCGCGCCCGTCGCGCCCGTCGCGCCCGTCGCGCCCGTCGCGCCCGTCGCGCCCATCGCCACCTACCTCCGCGGCCCCGCCACCTACCTTCGCGGCCCCGCCACCTCACTGTGCGGCCCCGCCACCTACCTCCGCGGCCCCGCCACCTACCTCCGCGGCCCCGCCACCTACCTGTGCGGCCCCGCCACCTACCTGTGCGGCCCCGCCACCTACCTGTGTGGCCCCGCCACCTACCTTTGCGGCCCCGCCACCTCACTGTGCGGCCCCGCCACCTACCTCCGCGGCCCCGCCACCTACCTGTGCGGCCCCGCCACCTACCTTCGCGGCCCCGCCACCTCACTGTGCGGCCCCGCCACCTACCTCCGCGGCCCCGCCACCTACCTGTGCGGCCCCGCCACCTACCTTCGCGGCCCCGCCACCTCACTGTGCGGCCCCGCCACCTACCTCCGCGGCCCCGCCACTTACCTTTGCGGCCCCGCCGCCTCCTCCCAGCGGCCCCGGACGCCGCCCTCTCAGCGGCCCCGCCGAGCCGCCCAGCAGCCAAGCCGCCCAGCCGCCGAGCCGCCCAGCAGCCGAGCCGCCCAGCAGCCGAGCCGCCCAACAGCCAAGCCGCCGAGCCGCCCAGCCGCCGAGCCGCCCTGTCCGCAGCCGAGCCGCCCAGCAGCCGAGCCGCCCCGCCGCCGAGCCGCCCAGCCGCCGAGCCGCCGAGCCGCCCGGCAGCCGAGCCGCCCGAACCGCCCTGTCCGGCAAGAGCAGCGCCTCTCTCACAGCACTGCCCTCGCCCTACTGTTTGCACTGCTAGTCTACTGCTGTCATGGCTACCCCTAGTGTCCTCGCTTTTGACGCTGAGGGTCGGGCCATTGACTTTGACGTCTGGATAGATGACCTGCAGCTTTTCTTACAGTGCGACAGAGCAGACGGCCTCTCCCTCTTTGACCTCACTTCTGGTGCCTCTCCTGCCCCCGCTGCTGATGCTGACACCACCGTTCGCTCACAGTGGGCCACGCGCGATGCTGCTGCACGTCTTGCTGTGCGTCGCCACCTCCCTACCTCTGAGCGTGCGCACTTTAGCCAGTACAAGAGTGCTCAGACCTTGTACGACGCTGTAGTTGCACGCTACTCCTCCCCTGCCACTGCTGCACTGAGCCGCCTCATGCTACCGTACCTCTTCCCTGACCTTGCTGCCTTTCCCACAGTCGCTGACCTCATTACGCACCTCCGCTCTAGTGACACTCGCTACCGCGCTGCGCTTCCTGCTGAGTTCTGCGCCAAGAACCCCCCCCCCATGTACATCACCCTCTACTACCTAGTCACCCGTCTCCCTGACTCCCTTCGCGTAGTCAGGGACCACTTCCTCTCGGTTTGTCCCACCACTCTCACCGTTGACCTCCTCGAGAAGGCCCTCCTAG